TATTTCTAATTGTATGTTCTCCTGAATCTGCCTGTATTTGACCTTCGTTAGTTCTAGTCAAACATTTCAGTCTTACATACCTGCGAAAGCTTTAACAGTTTGTCTTCATGAGTTTGTTTTTGTGAGTTTACATTCATATTCTACTGTCCTGTTTTCAATCAATCTCTTACCCATCCTCTGTTGTATTCTAAAGTCCTTCCAATGCTCACGTTTGCTACTATTTTTGGCAACTTGATAAGCCTTTTCTTTTAATCTTAACCAATGCGTAATTCCTTTGTTTCCTACCGTTGCTGTGAATGTGGATAACGTTTTGTGCTCTGGCTACTGTCTTGTTACTGGTATCTGTGCCCTGACTATTTGCATTAGGTTTGTGTTGTCGCCGTTGTGATGTTAAACTGGCTTTGTGTCCTCACTCGCCACACCGATGGGGAGGGTTGCGCTACTCTGTGATGCTGCTCCTGCACCGTGCTGTGCCTGGCCCATATGAGGCGCTGCAAAGTTACCCGGCCAGAGGGAGGGTGGAGGCACGGGGGTTAAGGGGACGGGGTGGGCGAAGTGGTGGTGGGGGTGGGGGTGGGGGGGGGGGGGGCGGGGGGTGGGAACTGTCGATCAGCGGGGGCGGGCAGTGACGTCTGCGGGCGGCATTGATAGCTGGGGCCCTCGGCCTCCGGGAGCACAATGAGCCGGCGAGCGGCAGCGGCTGGGAGACGGGGACGCTCCGCAGCTACAGCGCACAAAGCGGCGCAAGGACAATGAATGCGTTGCTGTCTCTCAGCCGTGTCGCTCGCACGGCACTCAGGAGGCTGACGAAGGACCGAGCGCCGGCAAACCGCAGACTAGCAGCAAGCACAGCGGAATCTCAGGTAACACTTGGGATTGAGAGGGAACTGCAGGGCCACCAGACCAGACCCTAACCCAGCCACAGACTGGAAAGTCCGGAGGGGCAGCCTGCACAAATCCCCCCATCCACACCACTTGGTCAATGCTGCAGATTGCTCGGCAAACAATGCAGCACGTTAAGGACAAAGATATGCTTAACGTGATACCTTTGAAAATCTTTACTTCTAATTTGCGAACTTTAAATGATCACGATTAAGTTTTGTTTAGTAGAGAACTTTGTGTCCCGGACACTAGTCAAATTCCTCTACTCCATTCAAGTTAATCCTTAAATTATAACTGGATGAGCAACTGTAGGAACATCAGTGCTACTTCTAACGCCGAACTCGTTTAAAGGTTTTATATCTTACTGTGAACTATTTGCAGGATGACTTCCGGGCTGTAATGCCCTTTTCGAATCTCGTCCATTCTCCTTTCAAGTCGTTGATTAAAATCTGGCCCACTGGCCAGTGTTTGGCCATTAATTTTGTGGCTCAATTTCAGTTTTTGGCTGAATACCCTGTGAAGTGCGCTGGAACGTTTACCTATTTTTAGTGATTATAGATTTGTATCGTAAGGTTGGCTAAAATAACTGAAAAAGGAAACTACGACCCTGTATTCAGATAGAAAGACAAAAGCAGCGTTTTTCTTTCTAGTCATTGTGGATGCAAGTAACACACATTAAATGTTCTTAATATACCATTTTCAATCTCAGCCATACTTTTTTTGATCATTAGAATGGGCAAATGTGGTTGAAGTTGGTTATCAAATCCAATCTGCCAATTATGGTTTCCACATTGGCCAAATCCAGAATAAATTCTACTTTACCTATGATCTGATTTCAGTGCAATAGCAGTTTTATTTTAAGATTGTATGCTGCAGAATGAACTGACTGATGTATGTGATGTATAGCATTCTGAAGTGATTTTCTAAAAACTGTAAACATTACATTTTGTGGAGCTTGTGTAACTAGTCTGTGCACTGAAGAAATATGTGCCTCGTCGGACTAGATCTGCTGCGCTCCTTTTTAAAAGGAGCCTTTGTCCATTTTCCTGTGACCCTGTCTTTAATTTCCAAAAAATGCAATTTTAAAATTGCAAGTAATATGATGTAGTATTTGTTAGTAAAGTATTATGGTGATCTCCCATCACATTATTCATGAGTTTAATTTTAGCCTAAGTAGATCCGATACCTATTTTACACCCTGGGAAAATTTTCCTTTGATTGAAATCAATTAAATCTGATCCCATCAGTTTACTATTGGGTGAGTTAGATTATCGTTTTCTGTTTCTTTCCTATATATTATTTTTGTCTATTTTGGATTCTTTCCTCTGGCTCTCATGCTCTCTTTGCCCTTGCTCTTGTACAATATTCCCATTACTGTGTCTGTAACATTGATTCTTTTTCCCATTGTTTTACGTTCATGTTTCTGTGTCTTTTTGAACATCAGTTTCCCTTCGTTGCCACTTCGAATCCAACGTGTAAAAATAACTCTCACATTTGATCCTCTAGTTATTTTTCTACTGCTTTGAAACTTTTGAGTGGTGGTGTCCAAACTGGTGCCAGCACATTTTCAAAAAATAGTCCTTAAAGCCCAAACAACTCAGATGTGGTATTATTTTAGTGGGCCAGAAGGTTTGGAATGGGCTGTTTTAAAGCTGTTATTTAATTGGTTGAAAAATCCTTACAAAACATTATTAATAGCTGCAGGTTAATGGCGTCGAGGAAATAAACGTTTCTGTATGTGGTTTCTAAGACATGTGAACCATGAGCTTCAACGTGGTACAGCCCATGAGCTTGAACTTTCTCAGTCTAGGGTACATTGGAAATTGGAGGGATGCATAATTTGTTGGGGATAGGGACAGGATGCTTATGTACAGCTTCAAAATGGCTCGTTACAGGAAAACTGACAAGCTGAGGATCAAGCTAGCAAAAATGTTTAGATGCCTCTCAAGAATGAAGAAGATGCTGTTCTTGGGAATCATGGTGTGGAATCAATGAGGTGTATAAAGATTGAGAAGATTAAGGTGGGTAAGGAGTTGGTGTTGGTTGCGGGGGGGCAGGGGGGAAGGGTCCACATTTACAAAGGAACACCAGAATTAGGAGCATGATTAGGTCATTTGGTCGATCATGCCAGCTCTGCCATTCAGTAAGATCTGGCTGATCTGTTTGAGGTCTCAATTCCACTTTAATATTGGTACTTCATGAACGCTCCCAACACCCCCCCTCCCTCCACCCCCTCCCCGCGCGCGCGCACACACACACACTCCCTTATATATCAATAATCGTAACAGAGCTTTGAATAACTGCGGTAACAAAGCCATCACTTATTTTCAGGGAAGACTATTCCATAGATTAGCGACATCTCTTGTAGTTAGACAGGGAGTTCATTGGTGCACTGGGGCTTTGAGAACTGAGAACATTGTGAAAGAAGTGTGAATGTTCAATGTGAGAAATTGCGGAAGTCATGTGCACCATGTGGAACATAGAGGGGGGTGAGAAAAACAGTAAAAGAAAGATGAAAATTGAAGTCATGTAACCCTCTGTTCCTTGAATTGACATCAAGTTTTGTTGGCCTCACTCGGCGCATTGAGAACGCAAGCATAATTTTAACAGAGTAGCATTTTTCAGGAAAGCGACTGTGAGGTTTTGCATTTTGGTGAAACAAACAAGTTCTGAGGAAGGGTCACCGGACCCGTAACGTTAGCTTTGATTTCTCTTCACAGATGCTGCCTGACCTGCTGAGATTTCCAGCAACTTCTGTTTTTTTTTCTGATCTCCAGCAACCGCAGTTCTTTCGGTTTTTATTTAGCACGCAAATGGGACTTTTTAGTTTGCGAAACCCGGTCGGCATGGATTAGTTGAACCCAAGGGTCTGTTTCCACGCTGTATCACTCTATGAATAACTTGGAATAGATTACGACTGTTGCTTTACAAATGGTAGAATAGGAGCATAACTATGTAAGTGGATAAAAGTGTGACTGTCATAGTTTGAAACCTGAGGACTAGCAATTAAATGGATTAGCGAGCCAAGGGTGAATGCAATTTAATGACCTTGCTATGATCAAGGCTAAAGTAATTTTAGCTTCAAAATATGCCTCATTGCTGTTAGTGAATTTTGCAGTTGTGCAAACTTTTATGCTACAATCACCAAAATGCCAACTGTTAAATTGATTTCTATTTGTCAAGTTGTGAAGTGAAAGCAGAGAAATATTTTAAAAAGTGTGAATTTTTTCCAGATTTCTGCTGTTTTGGTACGATGTTCTTAAAACAAGCTTTGAAGGAAGGAGATTGCAGATGAGGTGAAATTGTGCAGTTACTACATACCTGTTTCAGTGAAATCTCTTTGTTATGTAGTCTGTGACCCAAAGTGACTGTTTTAAAATGTTGGTGCTGAGCAGTCTTCATGGAATCTAAAGTTCAGGATGTGTAATCTTTTTCTTTGTCCAGCCCAGCTGGGAAAAGGTGGAAAATCTAACAGTCAATTCTGATTGGACTAGATGGTGCAACAGATAACTTAGCTGTGTTGTGATAAACTACAATTGTGTGAACAAAATGCCAATAAGATTTTAGGAGGAAGTTGCAGTATGAGGATAAGCATTTCTCAGCTTTATCAGGGTTTGGAGCTTGTCACTTTGTGTAATGGGCTTCTTGCTGTCATGACAATTTATCAGTTTGTTATCCTTTCAATCTAATTTCTGTGCTAACCCTGAGACTTTGTAAAATGTTTTGAGTTTCACTTTTTGTTAATTTAGGCCATGAAAAAGCCTTAAGAAGCTTGCAGTAAATTTTCTAAACATGCTGAGACAGCTTTCAACTGTGTGAACGTTGCCTACTAGAAACCTCACTCCAAGGGTGACTTAGTGTAAATAGTAATTCTACGTCCAGGTAACGATCAGCAGTCTCTTCCCATCCCCACCCCCAATGCACACAGGCATAGTAATAATATAAAATAATGGTGACGGTACAATGTGAGATCTTTGGCATGTTACCAAGGATGAGAAGGTTACAGTTATGAAGGTAGACTAGAGAAGTTGAGCCTTATTCTATGGAGTTGAGAAGTCTGGGGTTCCAGGTTATGTTGGGATAAGTCATGACTGATAATCTCTAATGTATGGCAAGTTGTAATAAGAGGCCATAAATTTAAGATAACAAATAATAAAAAAGCATTAAAGGAAAGTCTAGAAAAAGAATTCACAGAACGTTGTTGGCTTCTTGAGTTTTCTGCTGTATGCTGTTGCTGAAGTATAATTGATAAACACCTTTACAAAGAGATTTAATAATTGCATGGAACAGAGGACATATTGGATTGTGCTATTAAATGTTGAACCTCATGTGGGGACATTGAGGAAGTGATAATTTTCTTAAATTTATTTGCTGTCTAGCACCTGAATTTGAATCTATCATGAAAATAGTTTTCAAAATTTATGGGCATTAAAACTCACACATTGAATTACAGCCAATTCAGAGATCTGAGGAGTTAGTGAAGAAGAAAAGCAATATTTTGTGGGATTTTTTGTTGATTTGGTCAATCCCATGGCAGTAATGTCAGAATAAAATTCTCTTGAATTGTTGGGCTCCTGATGGGATTTGGATTTGATGTTCCCTGCAAGCAATTTTCTGGATGGCAAATCTAGAATTGCGAAGAAAGATTAAGATGTTGCCTAAACTTGCATAAAGAGTATTTGCATTTGCAAATGAACATCATGGCTGAGGTTTTCTGATTTTGTGCTTGCCAGCTTTCAGTTTTTTTTTGATCGAATGGAAGATTGCTGATACCAGACAATTTGTCTACAAGAGAAGTATCCAATTATCAAAAACATAACTCTTTGTCTGATTCTCGTATTCTGTGTTAGTTGTATGTCATAATCAATTTCTCTGATCATTAGAATGTAAAATCAGAGATTAATCCACTCTGACTGATGTTACAATAAACCACTGTAAGAAAACAGTCAGTAAACATGTCAAGTCACATTGATTCATGTGC